TCTGAGGGGCGTTCTTGTTTTTCGGGGGGGGGGGGCGCGGTTTCACTATAGGGTGCATGCGCTTGCAAGAAAGACAGATGGAGACAGAGAGATAGAAAGCGAGAAATTCCCTCTAGGGGGCATGGTCACACCACAATCCCTTCTCTTCTATTCTCCTCTCGGGATCTTGGGCACGCACGCACACGTGGCCGGTGTGAGTTTAAGCCACCGGGTCCAGGATTTGAACCGCAGTCGACTACAAGGGAGTCCAGTGACATAGCCATTACACCAACTGCTGGTCCCTGTAGGCCATTCTTAAGGAAGTATTATGGGGAAAGGAAAATTGACGATAAAACTTACACAACTGTGTAAAACAGTCCACATGTGTATACTCCAAATGTAGCAAGAATGGCTCACTGGAACTATTCATTTTTCAAGCATTCAGGCACGCAGCCTTGCTTTGAGGACCAGACCCACTCACTTCGGAGGAAGGTAGGGAGACCCTTGACCTCAGAGACTCCATTCTCTCGGCTGTTAGGTAGAGATATAGGGACCTCCTGACAAGGTAGTGGTGAAGGTTAAAGGAGATGACATAAATAAAAGCTCAAGAGTGCTAGCAAATATTAATTATTACAAGTTGAGTGCCCTTATTTAAAATGCTTGAGACCAGAAGTGCTTCATATTTCAGATTATTTTTGGATTTTGGTCTATTTGCATTTACATAATGAGATATTTTCGAGATGGACCTAAGTCTAAACAAAATTCATTTATATTTCACACACGCCACAAAATCTACTGTTCAGGTAATTTTATACAATATTTTTATATTGTAGCATTTTGACTACGACCTGTTTAGGAGGTCAAATATGAAATTTTCCATTGTGGAGTCATGTTAGTTCTTAAATATTTCAGATTTGGAACATTTTGGATTTTGGACTTTTGGATTGGAGATGTTCAACCTGTACCATCACCACTAGCTTTTTAGATAGTAACAACAGGGCCAGCCCATGGTGTGGTGAGGGTAGCTAGATCCCACATGTTCAACTGCTTTGTTCCAGTCCCAGACCCCAGGGCTTGAAAAACACATCAGGCATATGTTCTTGTGAGCCCAAATGCTGAAAAGAGGAAGAAGTGGAGGAGAAGAGATCACAGCGTGACCTTTCCCCATGTGGGATGAGAGGTCACTCTCCTCCCTACCCCACCCTGTTGCCTCATCTCTCTCCAGTGACTCTGACAAAAAAAAAAAAAATTTTTTTTTGAGAGGTTTTTGCTATAGGGCAAGTGCGCTCACCAGACAGACAGAGAGAGACAGAGAGACAGAAAGCGAGAAATCACCCCCCGGGGGGGATGGCCAGGCCGCAATCCCTTCTCTTCTCTTCTCCTCTCGGGATCTTGGGCACGCACACACACGTGCCCGGCGTGAGTTTTAAGCCACCGGGTCCGGGATGCAAACTGTGGTCGACTACATGGGAGTCCAGTGACATAGCCATTATGCTAACTGCTGGTCCCAGACTCTGACAAAAATTTTAAAAAGTAACATTAGATCCTAAATAATGTTTTCCTAACCAAGATTCAACAGAACTGACAGTAGCACACTTCTGATATTTAGTATTGATCTAATGACATGTGATGTTAACTGACATGAAGGCCAGGGTGAGACCCATGTTATTCACATACCGCTTACCCTGGTGGGGTCATAGTGCGGTTTAGTTCTCACTCTGTGCAGTGTGCTGAATCCTGCCCTGGGTGTCACAGCAATGACACAGCCATGGTGACCACCCTCTGGTGCTCCCATTACGGCAGAGCAGTTATCAGACAAATAGTGAGGGAATCGCACTCCATCGGAGGAAAGGAAGGTTATTTCTGGTGCTGGCACTTTAAATATTTTATAGAATAATTCTGTCTTTCTGCCGGTTGGAAGACTTCTTTAAATGGATAAAATATTTTAGAATTCAATCAAAAGACACTTACCTAGTCCCTCATTCAGAAAACAATTCATTAAATGTGCATTCATAATGAGAATATTCTCCTTGAGTGATTACAATGAGGATTCAAAGGATCATATTTACAATTTTATTTTCAAGTTTATCTCCTATGTGACAGAAACTCAAAACCAATTCATCAATTTCATGCCATTACCCAAACACTGAAGTTTAAGGCCTGTAAATTGTTTCAACAATATAGTGCCAAGGTGGGATCCACAGTAGGGGGAAGTAATTAATATGTGCTTATTTTAGAATTAAAAAATGATATACACGTAAAATGAGTACCTTCAACAGTCAAATCATGGGATCAAATAGAGAACCGAGGTCAGAACAGAAGTGGCTGAGTTTTTACTAATTTTGCAGAGAATGAAATACTGTGGTTATGCAATCTTATTACAATGGTGTCCTCAAGTATGTAAAACCAGAGTGGTTAGTTACCAGCCCACAGCAGTGCTAGAGCCTGCTACCATCAGCACTGTTACCAATTGGCCTGGTCCAGACAGGTAACGCGTGGGCTACCAGAACCCCTTGGAACGTAGATCTGAGGCAGACATAAAATGGCATCCAGGAGAAACTGAAAGGTGCACTATCCCCTAGGGCTTGCGAAAGGAATGCTGCTTCAGAGCACCAAGGAAAAGAAAACGACCTCAAAGTGTCCTGTCAGCACCACTTTCTTCATTTGATCCATTACAAATTACAGGCCTTTACCGGTAATGACATCAGCTACATGTCTCCCAAGTACCGTCACTGGGATTGCTTATAATAATGATGAGGGATCCCCCCTGCCCCGGAAAGCCATCTGAAACATCCACTTACCTCTGCAGGCAGCATCTGCTTGGTGTTATACAAAGAGCGACAGATTTTCACAACCTCGTTCCCCAGTCCTTCCTTGTTCTCCTCTGTACATCTGGTGAGCATCACTGTAGCTAGTCTCACCCACGGATTATTGGATATGCTGGTTGCAACAGAGAAAAATACAAGACACTGGAGATAATAGAAGTTACCAGAATCATGACAGGACATTTTAAAGCAGAAAAGTAACTCTGCTTTATGAAAGTGAAATGCTTACGGCAAATTACAATCAGAGTCTAAATGATATGCTCTTCCAGTTGATCTTGTGGAAAAGCAAGCATGGGATGGAGAAAATGCAGCAGCTTCCTGTGGTTTCAAACAAGCGGCTTCACGGCATGGAGCAGCGAGGAGTTGAAAGAACACAGCTTTGAAGCCAGAGACAGTCAGGCTCAAATTCTGGCTCCTTGATTCACTACTTGGGTGACTCCAGCACCGTATGGCTCTTAGGGAAGCCTTCTAACCTTCCTGGGCCTCAGTTTTCTTTGTTGTGAAAAAGTGATTTAGAGCTGCTTTATTGATTGGATGGAGTATTAATTGTGAAGTATCACTTTTGGTTTTGGTTTTGTTTTTAGGTTTTTGCCATAGGGTACACATGCTCTCTGGAGAAAGAGACAGAGAGAGGAAAAGTGGAGAAATCACTCCGTAGAGGGGAAGGTCATGACCCAATCTCTTCTCCATTTGCCTCCTGGAGTTTTGGGCACACACACTCATGTGCCCTGGTGTGATTTTCAAGCTGCCAGTTCTGGGACTCAAACTGTGGTCATCCATGTGGGATGCAATGCCTTAACCACCATACCACCAGTTGGCCTGTGGAGAACCACTTTTAATCGTATGCACTCCTTACTACATAAATACTGGCTCCTATTGGTTATATTAGTATTATTATGGGGCCAGGGCCAGAACCAAACGCCAATCAGAGCAGTACCTAGCAGTGGTCAGCGTGGGAGCACAGGCTGAAGAAGCCACAGACAAGCTGGATGAAGGTCACGCTTTGCTCCGTACTTCATTTGTTTTCTTAGGTCCACAGCAGAAAGGCATACAGAATGTGCCTTTCCGTTCTCGTCTCTCACTGCCATTTCCCCATATTTCAGAAAAAGATCACAATCTACTTTCAAGAGATGGCGTAAAGACAAATTCCTTCCATGGCCCAGGGCAGACTGATTTTAAACCTACGTTTTAAGAATTTACTATTTATTAGGAGTCTGTAGTCTCATTAGCACGTACTAGATTCTCAACAGTGACAAGCAGGCATGGCCTTCCCTGAGGAAGACTTCAAGTTTAACAGTGACGGGGGCCTCACAGTACTTGCCTCTGGCCAAGCTTTTGTGTCTCAGCTCAAGCTACAACAGCAATCTGTGAGGACACAGCACTGCTAACTTCAAGGTATAAGCCAAACTCCGTGGGAGTGCTTGCTTAGCTGAGAAGCCTCCTTATACTCAAGGACTCGCACTCTGCTCTCTCCTTGCAAAGTCTGAATTCAGCTCTCCTGGCATGCTCTGAGATGGGTCTCGATCTAGTAGACAGAATGGTCTTCCAGCACAATGAACCGCTGGGCAGGGTGGCTTTCACAACAAACTAGCAAAATACATTGTTCCCAGCAAGATGTGAAACTATAAATCCTCCGTAAGTACAAATCCTTATACTTTCCAGGCATTTTCCTACAAGGGACTAAAACCTTACTGTGCTGATTGGTAAAATGCAGTCATGGTCACACGCTCCTTCCTTCCCTGTTTTTTTATTGGAGAGGTTTTTGCAATAGGGCACATGCGCTCGCCAGACAGACAGACAGAAAGTGAGAAAGAACCTCCCCAGAGGGAATGGTCACTCCGCAATCCCTTCTCCTCCATTCTCCTCTCGGGATCTTGGGCACGCACGCACACGCGCCTGGCGTGAGTTTTAAGCCACTGGATACGGGACGCGAACCACGGTCAACTACGTGGGAATCCAGCGACATAGCCATTACGCTAACTGCTGGTTCCCGCGCCTGGCGTGAGTTTTAAACCACCAGGTCCAGGACGTGAACCGCGTTCGACTACATGGGAGTCCAGCAACATAGCCATTACACTAACTGCTGGTCCCTCTTCCTTCCCTTATTGAGGGACTATTTTGGAAGTGTTTAAGTTATACGTGAGATTGCCTGAATGAAAAAAGAAAAAAGAAAAAAAAAACTTCTGACCTGATTTCACAGTATCCCGTAACCTTCCCGTAGTGAACAGCAATTGGAATGAGGAGAGAAGCAGAAAACTCTACTGGGCTTACCGTCTGGTCATCTCTTCGGTAGCAGAGAAATGGACAGTAGGGGGGTAAGCTGACCAGTACTTGCTCTGTTCTGATTCTAGTGACTAATAAAGCAGTTTTGTAAAATAGAGGTTGGTAATTTACAACCTTTATCTCACATGTGACACACAAAAGAATATAACTCTAAAGATCAAGTTTTATTTGTCAACAAATGCACTAAATGTTTTAAATGCAGTGTTTTAAGTGAAGCTGACTTTGGTTCTTGTGGGTACGTGAAGGCTTTTAAATGGCCAGTGTTCTAAAAGGGTAAGAAACTGTCAAACCAGAGTAGACTATGCTACTAGAGGTGTCAGATTTTGAATCTGGAATGAAGATCTGATGACAGCTACAATTCAACTCTAGTAATTTACTTGAAAGGGAAGGCATGACTGATCGTCTCATCAGTGGGTCTTCTCATGCCTGCTTCATATTCTCCTCAACAAGGGTTTGTTTAGAAATACCCCACACTGGTGCGAGATGCTGGACTCGCCTTTTGAGCACACCACTCAGTACCCTGCTTCAACAAGTATTTTAGGCTAAGGCAGCTATGCCAAGATGACTAGAAACTAAACAGAAATGCACTGTCGCAAGGAAAACTGAAGGTTTTGTGATGGAAGAGTCTATAATGTAGCTTCAAACAGTGGAGGGAAGAACCTGCTTCTCAAGACTGCAAGTCATTGAGCAGTTAGCATAATGGCTATGTCGCTGGACTCCCATGTAGTTGACGGTGGTTCGAGTCCCAGACCCTATGGCTTAAAACTCATGCCAGGTGTGTATGCCTAAGATCCTGAGAGGGGAATGGAGGAGAAGGGATTGTGGCATGGCCATCCCACCAAGGGGTGATTTCTCGCTTTCTATCTATGTCTCTCTCTGTCTTTCTGGCAAGCACACGCGCCCTATAGCAAAAACCTCTCCAAAAAAAGACTGCAAGTCAGCATGCCACAAAAGATAGAGATCTCAGACACATTTTTTTTTCTTTCTGGAAATGCTTGACTAAAAAAAAAAAAAAAACAAACAAAAAAAACAAAACTCCACTCTCTCTGGTTTGCTTAAGAAATTCCTATCAGATTCCTAGCAGTGTCATCCTGGGGTCAAGGTAAAGCGCCTTTTCCAGATGCACTCCAGCAGTCCAGAACTGCTCACAGAGTAATTTAAATCCAGGAGAACAGCCTTCTATAACCTCTGATGCGAGCTGTTCACTGGCCTGGAGAAGCCTCTGCTTGCTGAGGAGGGACAAGGACAAGACCAGTCCTGGGCAAACAGGCACCCCTCTTAGGCAGGGACAGGTGCCAACGAGAAGCAGCAGTTCCTGACACCAGTGCACGTGCTCAGAGGCAACCTGGCCTCTCCTTCCACAGGAAGAGGTCAGTGACGTGACTGGTGGCACACGTGGCAGGGCTGGGTAAGCACCCGCAGCTCTGAGAGGCAGCTGGGAACTCGCTGTGACAGAGGAAACGACATGAGCCAGACAGAATTCTGGCTCCTCCAGGTACTACCTGTGTGATGCCGGAAGTTATTTAAGTTCTGGGCCTCGATTTCTTCATCTATAAAATTAGATAATATCCCCTTCCCTTGTAGGTCTGTTGTGTGAATGACTGATAATAATATATGTAAATTGTACAAAACTCTGTGTGCTCTCAATAAGGGGGAATTATTCATTTATTCCATATGAATTCTCAAGTGGACTAAGCAGTGCTAAAAGACAGTCAAGAAATTTCCTG